ATGTATGCACACAGATAATGATAGATGGATAGAAAGATGACAGATCATAGACAGATTCATGATAGAGATATGACAAATAGATAAATAGATAGAGAGATTCCTAAATTTAACCTGCTCAATTTGTATGACTTAATTGTATGTATGTCTTCAGGCCTGACCAAAATTTGGTGTGGGATAACCAACTGGTGTACTCTTCCTTAAAGAAGACTATTTCTCTGACTCCCAGAATTCCTCAGTTGCCTTTAGTTCTTGTGCTTGCCTGAGGCCTCATGGGCTTTTTCTCATTCATTCACTTTGGCCTACTGGTGTCATCCTTGTTTGGCCTACTGGTGTCATCCTTGTTTGGCTTGTGTTTGGAAGTTATGTTGGTGAGATATTAAGGTTGTAACTTCTCACAGTGAATTAATTAAGATCATCTTCTGACTTTTGAGGATATAGTGCAAACTGGAGTTTCACCATTACTGTTCAGTGCAGCTCAGTATAAATGGACTCACCAGCCCTCAGGGACCAGCATGCTTGCAGCTCTCCTAAGTTACTTAGAGAGACGGCCAGTGGGTTCATCTCAGTACTCTTCATACATTTTAGACATCACTTCAGTCTATGAAAACACAGTGTTGTGTGACTCAGGGAAGGGAGACTGAACAGTTCTACACTCATCCCTAAAGGGCCCTCGATAACAAGCCAAAGTCATGATGTCACTTAAGTCTAGTGAACCTGTGAGTTTAGAGGGGTTAATTACAAGAGCATAGGTGACTCAAAGGCAGCTACCTCACCTGAAAGCCCACTCAGCATGACCAATGACTCACTAAACTGCATTCCAGGAGGTCCCTGTACAACTGTCCGACAGCTAGTTCTCTACACAGCAATTGCTACTGTGCATATAACTTTAGGGGCAGGGCTGAAGAATTGCATTCTTTTCAGTAGCTCCCTGAACTTTATAAGTTTTGTTTACTCCCTGAATATCATAAACCTCCTACCCCTCCCCCATGAGAAAATAATTTCATTTGGAGACTATACAGTTACCCAACACACAGTAAACACCATCCTAGAGGAAAGCGACCAAATTTTGTGCCTTCTGAATGTATTTATTCCACGTTTTCTATTCTTGTTATATGCATTGATACATCATTTTCTTCTCATTTAAAAAAGCAAGAGCTCTCTGAGGGGTTTGTCGGTCTCATTCCTTAGCAAATAGTTTCTTCCAATTTCCATTCTCCAATTTAATTCTTCATCTCATCCCGAGGCAAGAAAACCAAGAGGAAGCAGTGATCTTATGGTTTACATTATACTTCCTTCAGACACAGACACTCCAGCTAGAATTCTCCCAATTTTGCTGAAAAGAAGAAATAGATAGTATTCTTCTGGCTGCTTCAAAGGAGCATATTTTTTACAATGTCATACATGCATTTAATGTAATTTCAATACTCTATTCCCCACACTTTCTCTGAAATCCTTCCTATTGCTCTCTTTCCCACCCCTACCAACCTTCCTCAGGTTTGTGACTTCTATTTTTAATTTTTTAAAATTATAATAAAAACACATCATTTCTCCCTTACCTCTCCTCCCTCCAAATCCTCCCAGATACCCTTTGTTGCTTGCTTACAAAAAAGATCATTTCCTCTTTTCTCATTAATTGTTGGGAAGAAACAAAAGAAACTTATTCTAAGTACTACCATTTTGTTTTCAGACTCCATTTAATCAGTGGGAGAAACTTAAGTTTAAGGTTTCAGTCCCTAGGGGATCTGGGTACTTCCCAATAGGTGAAGAGTTTCTATTATAAGGACACAGTTGTCTGAGTCAAGACATCTCAAAGACAGCTTCTCCATCTTGCTGGTAGGGTCAAATTAAATTCATGTTCCCTAGCCCAGGAACCAACTCATATCTTGATTGATGGAAAGTCCCTTGCTCAATCCCTTATGTCAAAATATGATTGGACAATACTACAGCTTACTATGCACCACCTCCCTTTATGGTTCATTCTTTAAATATGTTATAAAACGTCCCTTCAGGGTCATAGTTCAGCTCTGGACTCTGTTCTGTAACAATCTCTGACCCTGTTTGATCTGTAACAGCTTGATTGCAATGACATTTGTCATCTGCATTGGCCTGGTGTTTGAATTATGTTGCATCTATGCTGGATTTAAGTGGACCCCACGACAGTTGCACACATATGTGTATGTAAGTATATGTTCCTAAATATAACCTTCTCAGTCTGTATAATGTTTCTTGTATGTGTGTTTCTGGGGCTGACCATTTGTGATCCATTTAGTTTAATCAGAGCCATCTGTGTGACCATTAGATGGGATTATTTATTGGAGCCTAGCAGGGTGACCATTGGTTATACAACTGAAGACAGTTTCTCTCCGTCTGAATTATTTAGTACCAAATAGCTTAGCCGTAAGGATTAGGTCCCCTAGAGCCCCATGGCCATCCACACCTAACTGTCAAAAGACCCATTCTTGTTCTCACATGGTGCAAGCATCTGCAGCTGTTGTGAATTTGTGATACACGTCTCATAATGTTCATGGACCACCTACATCAGAATTACTTAGAGACTTGCTACAAATCAGTGTTCAAAGCCTAACTCCAAACCAATGGAAACTCAATGGGTGAGAGCAGGGCAGAATGTTGATCTGTAGGTAATTCTCATCCACGCTAGAGTTGAGTTAATACTATGTATGACTCCTGGTTGGTGTCTGTCACTGTACCTCCAGTGAAGAACATGACAGAGACAAGCAGTTTTGCTTCTTCCTCTACTTGTCCCATCACCCAGCCACTGGCATTTAGCACATACTAAGTACTTCCTGATCAAGTCCATGAACAAGACAGAGCCTTACAGTCTTATAAGGACATAAATGAAATGTTGGTCAGGAACAAACATATAACAAAATAGCAACCACGTTTTCCTATTTATCTGTGTCTAACCAGGGTCAATATACTTAAAAATTCTCAAAGATACTAAAGAAATAGCACAGACTTATTTCATTGTGAAGGATAACTGAGTTTAAAGTGCTTAAAAACAGTCCTGTGTAAGGTGGTCAAGAATGTTAGATGTAGGGTAGCTGTGGCCATCCAGCCCACAGCAACTCCATGCTGCTACCAGGATGTCTTTTTATATCATGCTGTTCAGTCTTTCATGTAAGAGCAGAAATTCTCACAATCATGGCTAAATCATTTTACTAAACCAGACGGGAAAACAGTATTTTCCAGTAAAACTAAGAGCTACCATCGAGGATGAACTAGAACGAACTCATGAGAGTCTTTTTTCCTATTGGCTAGTGTTCTTCATGACCCTCAGGCATAGACTATTGTCTAGGACTATCCATAAGCATATCATAGGCATAACCATAAGCTTAGCGATATATGCACACATGGGAACACATGTATGTGTTTATTATCCATGAGGTTAAAAGAGGAGCGCATGGGAAAATGGGAGGAGAATCTACCAAAGGCATAAGAACATAAACTTTGAAGCGCCTTTTAGAGATTTGTTCTTGTTTGTTTTGGTTCTTTTCTAGAAGTTTGTTTCAAGTCAAAGCCTCTTTTCCAGACACGTGATGACGACAACTATAACACAGAGTTCACCGCTGTCTCCACAGATCCTAGTATTCCAAAAGGAAAGTAGGAACTCACAACCCTGTTCCCTAAGATTTGAACTGTTCCAACTGTAAGGACCCAGGAAGAGGACCCCAACTCAAGTCCCAATTAGCGCGCACCCAAGGAGACACGAGAGACTTACTTGATGCAATGGCAAAAGGCAGTTTACTAACAAGGGCCCTTGGATCGAAACTCATCCCACGCAGGGGAGAGAATTCGATGAAGACCCCAGGAAGTTTATAACTTTTATAGGGGGAGGCACAAGGGGGAAGGGAAAAGCGGGAAATTCTGGAGCAGTTACATATGATTGGATATTTCAAACATCAGCACTTTGCGTAGGCAATCATTTTGACAGGTTGGATGGCCCACTATTTTTGACCATGAAGCCTCAGACCTTCTAGGATAAACACCAGGTGGCCCATTACTCACTTGGGCATGTTTAGACTGGTCAAGATATGTCTTTGGTTGTTTCTACATTTCTGGTCACCTTGTCCCTAGAGGGGCTTGATATTTTTATTATGGCTACTCTCAGTAAGCTCAGCAAGCTGTCCTGCAGTCTTTGCCAAGTTGTTTGTGGTCTCTGCTAAGCTGTTTTAATTTTTACCCTTACACCAACCTCACCCTGAGAGCTCATGCCATAGACCTAGAGGTACCATAGAGTACGGGAGGATTAAAATGGACAGGAAATCCTTTTATTTCCAGCACACATTCATGCCGGGGAGTGGGTCTGCCAAGGACTTCAAGGTCAGTCAGGCTACCTAGTGAGTTCCAGGCCAACCAGGACTACAGCATGAGACCGATTCTCAAATAAGTAAGTATTCTTTTCAGAAGAATTTAATTAAATCAAATGATTAAAAACCAACCACAGGCCGGGCAGAAGTGGTGCAAGCCTTTAATCTCAGCACTCGAAGGCAGAGGCAGGCAGATCACTGTGAGTTCCAGGCTAGCATGGTCTACTGAGTCCAGGACAGTTGGGGCTATACAGAGAAACTGTCTGAAAAAAATAAAATAACATAAAAAATTAAAATCAAGCTTACTAGTACCTTCGTGCTTGAAGATTCGCAAAAACAAAATAAGAAATAGTGCTTTGAGAATGTGAGAAGGTCATAGCACCCATGACCTCAGTTTTGGAGAAAAAGGATGGAGGTAGAGGGTAGACGGAGACCTCACTAGGCAGTTTGGGGCTGGAACCAAATATACCAAAAAAGAATTGCGACTATGTCTAAGGGAAGGGAGAAGAGGATCTAAGACTGTGTTTGAAGTGGGTGGAGACCAATGAGGTCTAAAGGCTGAAAGTAGACCAAGATAAGAGATGGGAATTCGCCGTGTGGCCTCAGGCGGCTCCTCTAGTCTGTGACTCGCTCAAGCCACACCCAGTGCTTGCACCGCCCGCGGAGTTTAGCTGGAGTTTTCCTCCGAGACCTAGAGAAAGGGTGGACGTATGAATGATCTCCCTTCCGGGATGGAGCCCGACAGACTCCGGGGGCGCGCTGGGTGCTCAAGGAGCGGAGAGGGGCGTGGGCCACCCTTGTATGCCAGCGTCCGGAATCCCGCGCTCGCGGGGACGGATAGGACCCTATCAGGAGCAAGTGGGGACGTGAGATCTCAGACGGGAGAGAATGTGGATTGCCAGTCCTGGGTCAGAGAGAAAGTGCTTTTTCTTCTGCACCCGGAGAGGTGGTTGGGAACACAGGCGGACTCTGCTTGCGCAGGGCTGGTGGACAGCGAGGACCTTCCCCGGATGATTGGAGACCACCACGATTCCGAACCGAAACGGAAGCTTTCCCGCAGGCGCATTGCCACAGCCCCGCGAGGCCAGCCCGGGGACCCCGAAGCCACACCCAGGTCCCTGTTGGTGCGGGTCGAGGATTACCAGGTGACGGAGGAAGTGCTGTGGACAGCATGGACCAAGGGGAGTATGACCACGAGGACCGAGGAGCGCTCTGTGACCGCGGTCACCTTTCGGACCCAGAGGGACTGACACAGTTTGTGGGGCACCGGAGGCCCAGACAAACCGCGATCGCTCCAAAGACTTGATGCTCGAAAGAAATTAAGCACACAGATCTCTGGAGCCTGAGAAATGTTTCAGGACAGTGGATGAGGAGGAATGTTTGAAGAAAAAATTTTAAGCAGCCTGCGCCATCCTCTGGCTTAAGTGTCTCACGGTAGTTAAAGAGAAAAAAGGTAATTTATTTTTATTTTTATTTATTTATTTTATATTGTCGGTAAATAGGAGTTTGAAAGCGCAAAACCTTAGTCACTTTGCCTGTTGGGGTTTTGCAAGCTACTTGTATTGTCTGTCACCCATTCCTTGTTCCTGTTGAGCAGCCAAAAGCAGAAGAAAAATTTGAGGTCTGCTCTCTGAGCTGTGTAGTGTATAGAGTGGTTGCAGAAAGGGTCTTTGCTTTGGAAACCTTAAAGAATTTTTTTTTTTAAAATTAAATGACCAGGAAGGGGTTCTAGGTACTCTGTACTGGTGTGCAGTTTCTATTCCTATCCATCATGTTTCTATGTTAAGAAGGAGGGAAAGAAAGACTGGAGGGTCGGGGGGGACTTTGGGAGGTTGACCTGTGTTTTGCCGGTAAAATGCAATTTAACAGGGCTTTATAGCAGAGGACATCTTACTTAGTTTGCTACTTAATAAGGAAGGCAGACATGTTGTATACAGAATATCATAAATGGTTATATGCTCTATTTTTATTCATAGCTTTTAACAAGGAAGATTCATAGTTAAGGAGTGGAAATATGGCTCAATGGTTTTAAGAGCTTTGGTTGCTCTTCCAGGAAACCTAGGTTCAATACCCAGCACCTGCACGGTATCTCCAAACTGTCTGCAACTCCAGTTTCAGGGACCTGACACCCTCACGCAGACATGCATGCAGGCAAAACATCAGTGCACATAAAAGTAAATAAATCTTTTTTTTTTTAAAGTACTTGTAGTTAAGATTGGATTGACAGCAGGTGGTGGTGGCGCACACCTTTAATCCCAGCACTTGGGAGGCAGAGGCAGGCGGATTTCTGAGTTCGAGGCCAGCCTGGTCTACAGAGTGAGTTCCAGGACAGCCAGGGCTATACAGAGAAACCCTGTCTCAAAAAAAAAACAAAAAAACAAAAAACAAAACCAAAAACAAGTCTACTATTTTAATTTTAAGTTTAATTTTAAAATTAATTTATCTTTAATTAGATGTATGTGGAGATTTATGTAAATCCGAGGGCAGGTAGGTACATGAACGCCAGAGTCATGGGATAACTTGGAGCTAGAACTACAGCAAATTGAAAATTGGAGAGTTGAGTGTTAGAAACCAAACTTGGCCCTCTGCAACAGTAATCTGAACTTTTGACCACGGAGTGCACTCTCGAGCCTTTTCTGGGTGTTTAAAATGGTCTTAAGTCTACCACTTTCTTTTTTTAAAATCCCATCTGTGCACCACTAGTTAGCCTGACACTCTCAGAGGTCACCATTGGATCCCCTGAAATTAGAGTTAGAGATGGTTGTGAGCCACTGTGTGTGTGTTGGGTATTGAACCTGGGTCCTTTGCAAGTGCTTGAAATAGCTGTAGTAATCTCTCAGGCTCCCCATCATTAAGTTTTTTCGTATTGGGGTGCAATTTGGGATTCTAAGGAGCAAACCAAGCTCTTAAGAGATAGGTGAAGGGTTTGAGTTGTCCCTGTGGGAAGGGGTGTTTGGTAACATAGTAACAAATGAATGGGGCTCTGCTTAGGGGTTGAGGGGGTGGGGTGACGAGTAAACACTGCTCTTACCCTGGTCCTTCCAGGTGTCTTCAGTTACAGCATGAATGGCCTTCAAGCCACCATCTGATCCACCTCTTATCTTTTGCCTGGTCAGATAGCATCCTTCTTTTTTATACCTGAGCTAACTTTGGCCTAGAGGTCACATAGCTTGGGTAGATCACAATCAAGGGATTGTGTGTGCTTACTAAGTAGACAAGGAATGTGGTCATCTCGTGCCTAATGATTTATGGATGACTTTTTCTGAGTCTTACTTCTAGGGGTCCAAATATGCCCAGGTAGGAGTTCTAGGCTGACGGCTCTGGTGCTGCCTCGAGGTACCGAGCTACTCAGACTCGGGTCATCTATTGTGAGAGAATGCCAGTGCCTTTACTGGGCAGGTTCAATATATACACCAAGCCAGGGAAGGAAAAACAAAACTCAGGAAAAAAAGAAACTCAACTGGGGGGCAATCGGATGTCAAGTGTAGATTCCCTTCCTGGGGCATCATCCTTCAACAAGATGTTTTATTGGATGTCAAGTGTAAATTCCCTTCCTGGGATACCATGTCTTAGTCAGGATGTTTTTGATTTTAGAGGAAGGGCAGAATGTTACTTAGTAGACAGCAGCACATGGAAAGTCTCAGCCAGGGTATAACAGCCCTTTGGGGTCCTATACTAGGCTAATCTCAAAAGAAATATATGTGAGGCACCATAGTTTTCTCACTCAGGTTTAGGAAGTCAGCAGGTTTAGGAGAGTCATCCTTCTCCCTGTATCCTACAAGGCCTATTGGCTGAAGATTTACCAGTAGCATCACTCAGGCCTGGGAGAGCTTCCCTTGAGGAATGAACTTAGCCCTTGAGCTCATCTATTGAGCTGTTGGGTAATTGGAAAAGGAGAGGTCACGCCCTGCCCCCAACCCCATACATTCTTCTTTTGCAGAAATTCTGCGTGGCTTCTTTGTACAGTTAATTGTGAGTGTTAAGTGTCCTATCTGCACTTTTTGGACCAGTTCCAGGTGGATGAACACTGATTGGAGACACAAGAAACAAATCTCTTTTTCAATTACCACAACCAGTAGCGCCATTCAGCTCTCAAAGGCAGGCTCTGGAGTTAAGTGGATTCTTACTAACCTCTCTGCTAACTAGTAACTTTGGGCAAGGTGCCTAATCTCTATGGTTAACTTGTTAAGTGGAAATAATAACCATTGTACTTTTTTGGTAGGATTTAGTTAAAATACTTAGAATACTGTCTGGCATGGAATACACACTCAGCATTAACTCTTCGATTGCTAGCCAAGTGTAGTGTAGTTAATCATTTAACCCACTCTTGTCCTGACCAGGATTTAGTTTTTTATTTAATAATGTAGCCTAGAAATCATAAACACTAAACAATCATCAAAACAACTAACGAAAACTGAGCTATTGGTTTTTACTAAGGCCTCTCCTATACTCTTGAAAGGACTTGTTTTTAGCTTCTTCCGTCATTAGTAGATCAGTAAGTACATTTTCCCCAATTTCTTAGAAATGACTTCTACACCATGGGGTGGGGGAGGGTCGGAAGTCACCTAAGGCTAAAGGACCATGGTCACTATACTAAGTGAATGGAGAGATTAAAAAGCCTTCGCCACCTCCTTGGTAGGTCAAAGCTTTGGATAATTGTTCTTTTGAGACAGGGTCTTGCTACAAAGTCTTGGTTGGCCTGTGACTCTTTATGCAAATCAGATCTGCTTGCCTCTCAAGTGCTGGGATAAAAGGCACGCACCGTCAGGCCTCGAGTTGAACAAACATTTTTAAGCTACTCTAACTTCTGTGTTAGCTGTCTGCAACATGGTCACGGTCACAGGTTTAAAATAGATGTCATATTGAAAGTGAAGAAAGATGCTGAACTGTTGTGATTTGCTTTACAGGTGAAGACCATTTTTCTTTCATGTCTCAGAAGAGTGTCTGAACTTGTCCTCAGTACCAAGGAATCTCTCCAATGACTGGGCCTTGACTCTATGACTTAACCTCACAGAAATACAAGTTCATCGAAAACTGTGTTTGTTAGATAAAGTACATCAAAGACTCCCAGAGGCCCACCTGGGCACACTATAACTGGTACAAATGTCCAAGTCACATAACTGTCATGGATCAGGCAAGATCCTTTTTATAAATATGTGCTTTTTTAATAGTTTGAGACAATGGCTCACTGGATAATCCAGGCTTACCTTGAACTTAAGTCTAGCCTGTGGTGACTGACCTTGAGATCTTTCCATGTCAGCCTCTCATGTACTAAGATGACAGTATGTACCAGAATGCCTGACTGCCACCTTTCTTTAAACCCTTTATTCACGTCTGTAATTACCTGCGATGTTCGATTCATTTGACCTGCTGTAGTATTGAGGGGCCATACCGGCTGTTTCTATTAAAACTCACTGTGAGGTTTTTTTTTAAGCTTTTTATATTTTAAGTTTATTTTGTGCTTGAGTGTTTGCCTGTATGGGTGTATGTACACAATGTGCGTGCCATGCCCACGAAGAACAAAACAAGGTATTAGATTCCCCGAATGGGAGTCTAGATCTGAACTTGGGTCCACAGTAAGTATAGCCAATGGTCTTAATTGCTCAGGTGTTTGTACAGCCCTAATGTAAGGGTTCAAAAATTGCTGAAGGAAGACCCTAGACTTAGATAGCATGCAAAAACAAAGAGTGTTTATTCTGCAGAAACATCTAGCATGGTGTGTGTGTGTTTGTCTGTGTGTGTGTGAGTGTGTGTGTGGTCAACCATTCTCCAAAATAGCCACCCCAGACGAAGGTGTGAAGACCTTCCTATAGTGAACTAGGGGAACTCTTTAGTGGGTGCAAGGAAGTCACAGGTGGTCAGTGGTCTGCATTTCTATGTCACGAACATATGCCATATGATAAAATAGGGCTGCCCAGGGTAGATGGCTCATTCTGAGATAAGATATTTCCCCGTTTTTGTGTTTATCTTCTCCAGGATGTTCTTCGGAGGGGGTTTTACGATCTTGTTCTGAATTTTATGATATGTCCCTGGAGCTGGTATCTTATGGCCTAGTTTCTGTGACTTAGGTCTATTCCAGGAGTGGTGCCATATAGCCTTTTTCTCAAAGTCAGGCCTGGTCCTTACATGGAAACAAATGGGGTTTATGTTGTCCTTATACTGAAAGTGACCCTAGTGTTGTGGCCTGGTATGGTGGCAAAAGCCTTTAATTGTAGCAATATAGAGACTTAGAGGTATGAGGAAATATCTGAGTCTAAGACCAGCAGGGATACGTAGTGAAAAAAAAGGAAGGAAGGAAGGAAGGAAGGAAGGGAGGGAGGGAGGGAGGGAGGGAGGGAGGGAGGGGAAGAGGGAGGAAGAAAGGGAATGAGAAAATATTTGATCATCTAGAGAAAAATTAATGAAATATTATGAAATTGATAAAGACAGATTTAAAAGAACAAAAAATTCTGCCGTGATCACAAATCTTTTAATATTTAGTATTTCTTCAATATTGTTTTATTTTATTTTTATCTGTGTGCCTATGTTGTCACAAAACATACAGTTCTCACTTCAAAGGGAATAAAAGATTGTTCATTCTAAAACTAAACTTGAATGATCAGTAATACATATGCCAATGTGGTTTTATGACATTTTTATAGTAGCAGAAAAACAGAATAGTTCATAAATCCACAGGCTTTTAAAATACACTGGAAGAAACATCAGGTAGGTGGGTTGCAGCAAAAGTGGGAAATTTCTGTTATAGGTCTGAGATGTAGTCTGATGTCATTATTAGCCTTTGGGTGGAAGCCAAGAGTCTTTCCGCTTCAAGGATGTTAGATCACACATCCAGGCCAGCTTCCATATCTCAAGACACTGGGTCTTGACCTGCAACATTCAAACTCTCTATAACCATTAAAAACAATCAGTTAATTAATTAATCAGCCTTGTAGAATGTTAAACTCAAAATGTGGCTTTTGTGTACTCGTTTCAGTTAATGCTTGCTTACTGATCTATTTTTGTTCTGAGCATAAATTAAAAAAAATAATATTCCTAGTGTTACTCTTGTGTATTTTCTGAGGAATTCCCCTTATGTGTGCTGGTTAGTTACCTGGTTACTCTGAGAAGAAATAACACTTACTTCACTGAGTTGCTTTTGGTTATTGAGTTTTATCATAGTAGCAGGAAGGAACCAGCATGCTAGGCTAGCACACAGACTTATGTCACTGGTTATGTAGCAGCAAGGGCTCCTCCAAGAAAGAAGAGCAGAATGCCCACTGCGTTTACTGTCTGCTGAGTCAGGGCATGCATTTTTGCAAAGATCTCTGGGTGATTCCTTTTAAAATTTTACCTATCCATCATGTTTATTTAACATTCCAATCACTCACTACAATTAAAAATATTTATTAAAAATTCTCATTAGTTGTTAACAGTATCAGGGCAGTAACAATTTATAGGAATATGGATATAAAGTTTATAAAGGGTATACAGTACAACTCATAGAGATTTGTAAACTGGAAAAAAATAATCACGTCTTTTTAAACAGTTGCACCATGCTATAATTGTCCCCAATGAACTATTGATTAATTATTGGATCTCTAAATGAGAACGATTCTTTCATTATTGAAGAATGTGAAATGGTTTTGTCAAAAGCCCCTTAGGGGAGGAAGGACAGGAAGTCATTAAAGACAGCATAGCTTCAGACCTCTGAGTCACAGCTAGTCACTCGTGATGAATTGTGAGGGAGTGGGGCAAAGGTGGGGCTTGGATTTCAACCAATTCAGGAAAGAAACCAGGGCTGGCACTCGGAACACTCTGGCATCTCTAGAGCCCAGCCAGTACTTTGCTGTTTAATTATGAACTTATTTCTCTAAATAGTCTCATGTATGAAGATAAGAAAAAGAATAGTCTCGATTACTTAGGGTGGCAGAAGGAAGTAGGTTAAAGTCATTGGCACTGTACCAGTCAACAGTTTCCTGTAAAATTAGAGACAGCTATGCTTAGAAACAAGGAAGTAAATTTACAGTCAGAATCTGACTTTTCAGTTTAAAGGAGAATAGCAGAAGACTGGAGAGAGGATCCCTCGGCAGTTAGGAGTGCTCACTGCTGGACCTGAGTTGGGTTCCCAGTAGCCATGTTGGGCATCACACAGCCGCTTATAACTGTAGCTCCAAGGGCTTCAGTGCCTTCCTCTGCCTCCTTGGGAACTAACATACATGAGACATAAACTCATACATAGGCACATAAATAAAAATTAAAATGTTAAAAAACAAAATAGAAGTTGTAGTAATGTTAAGGGAATTGACTAGCATCCCTCAGGCTGGCTGGAAGCAAATACAACTCAGGCAGTGAGAGAATTTTGAATATTTTCTTAGCTTGACTAAGGGCCCAGGAGCTATTTCTTTGAAATGGGATCAAACCATTGAAGAAGAGAAGATCTCAAATTCCCTTTTCCTGTACAAGAGAATAGATGCTTAACTTCCCTGTCAGTTGACAAACACAGATGGACTAATCATATTGACCAACCTGTCTCCAAAGTCCTTCAATACATTGTCACCAGCTTAAAACTCTCCTGACACCAGTCTCAGATGAACTGAGTATATATTCTTCCTTCCCTAGCATATAAAAATCTTCAATAAAGTCTTCCTTTGTTTTAATCTGTTTGGACATTTAGTTTTAATAGTGAAGAAAAAACAGAGAAAAGGGAGGCTTGAAGTGTGCTCCAATAAAAATGTCAAATCCTTGGCGTCAAGAATTTCTGGATGTGTGTGTGGGAGAGCTGTCTAGAAAGACATATTCTCATAGGATGGGCTTTGTGACAAGGTAGACACATCAGAAAGCTGGCAGTCATTGAGCAATCCAGCCATTAGGGACAGATGGCAGTAGAGACTGAGTGGCCTTCTGTCAGCATTGTGGTAATTCTCTGAGATTAAGTTTAATGAAAGCTACTTAGTGTTTGTCATGTAGTAAACACCCAAATTAGCTATTATTAGCATAGTAGCAATCAGTCTTGGTAGTGAGTTTGTTTCTTATTTCATTCTAATCAACTGCTTTCTTTCTTTCTCTCTTCCTTTCTTTCTTCCTTCCTTTGTTCCTTCCTCCCTTCCTCCCTTCCTCCCTTCCTTCCCCCCTCTTTCTTTTTTCCTTATTCATTCATTTGTTCATTCATTCATTCATTTACTTATTATTTTGTATGTGTGTCTTTGTGGGTATAATGTGCACTGAAGTGCAGGTGTCCTTGAAGGACAGTAGAACATCTTAAATTGGAGTTATAGGCAATTGAGTGCCATCCAGTATGTACGACGGGAACCGAATTCAGATTCTCAGCAAGAATAGTGCCCGTTCTTAACCACTGAGAAATCCTGTCAGTACCCCAAACTATACTTTCAAATGACAAAGAACAGAATACTTCAAACAATTTCTGCAGAGTTCCTTTTCTATCTGTTGTCAAATATTGCCATATAAGATCTGCTACTGTCACAATTTCAGCCTTGGGCTAGGGATGTGTCTCTGGCAGAATGCTTGCTTTACATGTCTGAGGCCCTGAATTTGACCCTTAGTATATCCACAAAATCCAGTAAATAAACTGACTATAGATTCAACCTTTTACTAATTTCAAGTTCTGCAAGTATTGGAAATTGAACCCAAGGCCTTGCAACAAAATATGCTCTCTACTATGGAATTATATATCCAGCCCTCTTCAGTTATGAAGAAGCTTGAGGATTCTGATGGTGAGAAGGAGTTTGACATACAATAACAGTAATAAGGCTGCTGAATAATTAAGGCTGGGCTACCTTGATGCTGACCCGGATCCTAGAAGTTACTCGAATTCAAGTGTCAAAGCCTTTCCATCTCAACCACACAGGAAAATTACAAAGGTATAAATTAAATAATCTCATAATAAAATTCTTTTTCTGGGATTATATTGGGCTAAAATAAAGCGTGGAGCCAATTTATTCAGTGTTGAGCTCAGGTTTAAGCAATGAGGCTGGAAGACTGTCCTCATGAGTAAACTAAGGAGGTCAGGACAAAGATAAATCAGACTAAAAGTTGGTCTGCCTTTTATTATCACTGTGCTAAGTGATAAAATATTTTTGCTTTGAAAACAAATTATTGATCTGATTTGTATTTAGTTTTAAAACCTTAAATAAGCTTAATCATTAAAAGCGTTGGTAAGAAGTAAGTGAATAAAAACATTACACAGAAAAAGTCACCAGATCCACTGAGTCTACACGACTCACTGGGTATCGTGCATTCCAAGTGTGAAATTTAATGTAAGGCTCTGCAGCTGCCGTTCTGAATGCCTAGTCTCGCTATTCAAATGTTCATCGTGTAAACTTTAGCACATTTCAATTTCTCTTTACTATTTTTCTTATGTAGAAGATCATTTTAAAGAATATTTTATCTGCTCCCCATCACACACACACACACACACACACACACACACACACACACACACCACTCATGCATTATTAGAGGACACTTCTAAAAGTTTGACTTCTTCATGTCTATTTAAAGTGTACTGTTTCTTCGTCCTTAACCTTTTTCCACATTTCCAGAGTAGATTCACCTGGGGTGGCACTCAGTGACACAGTTCTTGTCCGATAGGTTTTGATTTTCAGCTTTACAAAAAATAAAGTGTGGAACATGAGATGGCTCAGGGGGAACAGGCACTTGCTGCCAAATCTGACCACTGGAATTCAGTACTATGTTGGAAAAAAATGTACATATGTATCCAAGAAACTAATAAACTGTACTAAGAATATTTTAAAAATTTAAATGACATATACAGACAAGAACATAACAATTATAGACACCAAGGGAAAAAATTAAGTTATAGTGATTGTGGTGTATAATATATGAGTCAAACTTAAAGTAGAAAAATAATAAAATGTAACAGTTTTATTGTATAAGTCTAATTTTATTAGACATGAATAGCTTGAAGAAAAAATTCTTTATCTCAATTATTATCAAAGAATGAGTCAAAGGAAAAATTACATTAGTAGGAATCAATTTTCTCAATCGTATCTTCCGTGGACATTTTCATCTGTATTGTTTAATTATTAGTTTAGTTTACTTAATACTTCACCATGTCATAAAAAAGGATGTTATTTCACTCTCTGACACAGCAGAAATGGTTACTTGTTTTACATTATACTTATAATTATTTTTACGTTATACTCCTAATGAGAAACATTACCCTCCCTGCTTCTGGGGGCAGACAGAGGACATATGCCCTATGTATCTGTAGTCATAACAAAGGAAAGCTGACAGGGCTAACTAAAACTTGGTTCTCTGGATCTCTGGTCTATGCTTTTACTGCTCCCCAAGTAATGGAAACAAGCCCACCAGCTAATTTTGATTGTGGATTCAGAACTGACTGAAATACTACTAAACCCACAAAATAAACTAAGATCAACCAAGAAAGTACAGTTCCCCATGTGTTCGAACATCAATGTGAGCCCAAATGGAACTTGAGTTCCATATCATTATTTTCTGTACCTCTCTGGACGATGAGGGCACTAAAAGCCTCCCATCAAAAGGCTCTGTGGATAATTATGTGTTGAGAATAACCTTGGTGGCCTAACATTCTCTGGTATTTTACTGAATTGTGGTTGGCTTTCTTCCTGATGACCAGGCTTCTTTCTTGAGGCTTAAGTTGAGAAAATGCTGTGTTAATTCTTTTCCTCGGAAAGAGGGAAATTCCAAGTCTTCAAAAAGATCTTTTGCCAGTTTTACAGATTTGAACTCTATTTCTTAAGGATCTAAGAGATCTCTTTGAGACTGTAATAGTCTAGGAAGATAGGACATCAGCCTCCTATTCTCTGTGTGAAGTAGCAGCTTATCAAATGAGGCTCTCATGCTGGGGCTGTAGCTCAGGGGAAATCCTTGTTTATGAAGCATGGAGTTCTGGGTTCTTATCTATAGCTTCTGAAAAAAGGAAAAGGTCAAATGGGCTCCGAGTAGCAAGTGCAGAAAGCCTACCATAGAAATATTTGAAAATGCAGAAGTGATTCAGTGAGCTGGACACAGCGTATTGACCAGACTCCCGCCCAGCCTTGGGTACTTTTCCATGGCACACCCCACTGCTGAAAGTCTTTCTGTTCTGTGCTTCTTCAGTGCTGGGTTCTGACCAAGTTCTATCCTATTACAATACCCTTAGGCAAAGTCTTCTTTGTTTAGTGCAATTCTCACCTAGACACAAATCAGATATGAGCATGGGAGAAGCATGTATATTGATGTTGGGGGGGTACATTTGACTTCATCAAAGTAGGAGAAGGTTTTGTGTTGGGAGAATAGCATGGCTTTTCTCTGTTCTACTGCCAGAGTCTCTTTGTATTTGGTTTCACTAGGATTTTAAAACACTAACCACAGGGATGTTACACTGCACATCAGTATTATTAGTAATAATACGTGTGTATATTTGTGTATGTGTGTGTGTGTGTGTGTGTGAGAGAGAGAGAGAGAGAGAGAGAGAGAGAGAGACAGAGACAGAGACAGAGACAGAGGAAGCGAGGAAGAGAGAGAGAGTGAGAGACAAAGAGAGAGTATGTGTGCATATGTGACATGTGAGTGTAGGTTTACATGCCATAGCATGCATGTTTGGCTCACAGAACAACTTTTGTGGAATCAATTTTTTCATTCTACCTTTACATGAGTTCTGGGAATCAAACCTCCAATGCCAGGCTTACATGCCAAGTGCCTTTATGGCTCCCGCCTCCCCCACCTACCAATCTAGTAGGACCCAGATTAATTCTTTCTGATCTCAGAAAAATGGCTGTACTCACAACCAATGATGTGTTATTAACCACTGCGTATTTGTTCTCAGAATGAAAACAATGCCTTAACTTCAGTTTGTGCATCTCTAAGAGCTTAATTTTTTTATTGCTTTTGTGTTGATATTCATAAATATTACACCGCCTTTCTGCACACAAATACCAATTACCACTCTTGACTCCATGGCACACCCCACTGCTGATACGTAGGTGCCTCATGCCTTACAAGACCATGTCTGCTTCCTGTTTGGGTTCTTTTTGTGAAATTATCTGTTTATTTGTTGTCTTCGGCAATAGCAGCAGGGAGCTTCTTCTACAGCAGCTAGCAGAGAAACCTATTCTGGAAAAGACAGACCTGTGTGAGAAGGAGGCTAACTGCCCTAATAATCCTGCAGGATATGGTTGAATACCACAGCTGTAGAAATAAAGGAAAGGTAAGCTTTTGTGCCAAGGACCATAAGATCACACCAAGAACCGGGGCTGCACTAAACTCAAGGAGCTGATGCTCGGAGCAGAGCACATATCTTATAAGGCCGTGGTTGAACGATAAAACCAATGTCTGGAGTTAGATCCAGGTCCAGATGGGAGACTCCAGGGGGTGGTTGGAAGGTAAACTTCTGCATGAGACTGGCGAAGAAAAGGAAAAGCTCCATTTTTGCCAGTGACTCCCCGGCGCACATGCGACGACCTGGAGATACAGACAGTAGAGGAGGTTATAAGACATCAGCAAGAATCCCAACAACACTGGTCAAGATCAGAGCACACTTTGGAAGAATGGATGCATCATCAACCTCTTCTGAGCTTTATTGGTTTTGTTTCCAATAAGACCTGGAGATACATCTGCAAAAAGAGAAAGAGCCAAATGGCAGCTTTAATGATGAAAAGAAGCAATTAAACATAATAAATGGGTCCTATCTTTTATTTTAAATGACACAATCTAGAGTCACTTGGGAAAAAGCAACCTCAATTGAGGTATTTCTCAGATCAGATTGGAGTATAGTCATGTTTCTGAAAGATTGTCTTGATGATCAATGTGGAAACGCCCAGCCTACTGTGGATGACATCCTCCCTCGGCAGGTGGCTCTGGTAGTCTAAGAAGTCTGCCTGAGCATGAGTCATAGATAGCGCCTGGAAGCAGGACTCCTTTAAGGTTTATGGCTCCAAGCTCCCACTCTACCTTCCCACCTTGACTCTCCTCAGTAATGCAATGTGACCTGAAAGTATAAGCTGTCCTTCTCCAAGTTGCTTTTTTTTGGTCATGGTGTTTAATCACAGCAACAGGAAAACAAAAACAAATCAAAACAAAACCAAGAACAACCAAAATCCAAGAACAATATTTTAACTTGAAAATATCTTTTTGACAAAATCAATGTGCATCACAAGATCATGAGGTTAAAAAGTACATGATGTGTCTGCTAAGTAAAAGCTAACCATTCAGTCCATAAACATGTTTAATGTCAACATTAACTGAACTTGGCATGGAGTCTGCTACTGTTCTGATGAGATTTACTGTGTAACAGATGACCTATAGCTAAGTAGGCAATTATAATACGGTGTCATAATTCATGAGTTGACCTGTGGAAAAATACCCGATAGCCAGAGAAGGTTCGTTCCTTGAATGAGAGTTTTATAGCTAAGCTTTGATAGAAAGGATGAGAAATTTGTCAGGTGAAGATGAGGAAAGATGACAATGAGGTCCTTGTGCCATTGGCTGGAAGAGATTTGACTCCCACTATATACAGAGCATGAGGTAGGTGTTCTTGGATCAGATACCAGAGGAAGGAGCAGAAACTAGGTTACAGTGATCTTGAAAATGATGTTAAGTTGCAGAGGCATATTGTGAAGTTAGACTCATATGACACAATTATGAAATGTAAGTTATTTGAGGCAATGTCTGAAAATGCAATCAAATTGAGAAAGGAAACTTTCCTGATAGAAGTTTATTAAAACTATAGACTCTTGGTAGTTATCTCGTGTTAAGAACAATTTTATTTTTAGGTTAAATATAGTGGGTTCTTTATTAGTTTTATAGGTAGATAGAAGGCACCATATTTGAATGAAAAGTAGCAGTGTTAATGTACAACCTACTTCAGTCCTTCTGAAGACATATCTATTTACCTTGCTCCCAAGAGGAGAGCTTTAACGTGCTGCTTATGTTATGACCAGTAATTTTTGTAGTTAATACAGTTGTAGATATTTGATTTACTTCTTGAAACATAAATCACAGGTGTGCTCAAACACAGAAGACTTCTATTTTACCACAGAAGGAAATAATCTCATGTTAACCTTTTTGGTTTATTTGAGACTCACAAGGAATAGAATAACTCTACATATTTCTTTAATGGACACAGGAATGAGGCAATATTTTTATGGGATGAAAGATCATGAATATTTCCTCTCTGCCTAGAAACATTCATAAAATAGCTAACCACTCAGTCCACAACAGGTTTAAGGTCAACAAGGCACAGGTATTATTGTGCTTGTCTTTGAAACAGCTATTGTTCTCATGGGCTTGCTTATGTAACACGTTATTCAACAGGTGACCAACAAGTAAACAGATAATTATAATACAGTGCCACAAGCCATGGAGGAGTCGATGGAAAGAAAAGCTAAGATAGGTTTGGGGTTAGATATTTCCATAAGGACATAATTAAATGGTGTTTAATAGGATCATAAATAAAGTAACTTGGGATGTCAAATTATGACCTTCTGTTTAAACTTCATTGAGTTTCATGGTAAATGCTGAGGAGCCCAACAAAATAAAACATATATTAGGATAGGTTACAGTCTTAACAAGAGAGTATTATTGTGTGTGTAAATCTGAGAATGATTTCAGGAGACAATAAAAGACATTTAGCTCATAAAAGTTGTTCAATGAACAAGACTTCTAGAAATGTGTTTACATGTAAGTGGAAACAGAAGGGAAGGATGCCTTCCACACAACTATAAGGATAAAAAGGTGAAGAAGTTAATAGCATCACTTGTAGTGGACACAAAAATTTGCTCTATATTTAATATATTTTATTACACTTTGAATTTTACTTGTTTGTGCATGACTAAAGAATAGTGTTGGGCTGTGTGTCGTGGAGCATGCCTTTAATCCCAGCTCTCCAGAGGCAGAGGCAGATGGATCTCTCGGAGGCCAGTCTGGTCTACATAGCATGTTCCAGGATGGCCAAGGCTATATAGAGAAACTGTGTTTCAAAACAAAAACAACAAACAAACAAACAAACTAGAATCGGTACTCCTAGCTTTCTTTGAGGACCACAATAAATTTCTTTGTTAGATTTATTTTTAATTTATTTTTAATTATTTATATGTCTGTGTATAGGTGTGTGCACATAATTGCAGGATCTGGCAAAATGGAGAAGCACAGGGGACTCCTGAAGCTGTAATTATAAGCAGTTGACATTAACCAAAAGTGGGTACTAAGAACCAAACACAGGTTTTTTGTTTTTTGTTTTGTTTTTGTGCAAAAAATCACTTATAGCTTCTCATCTATCTCTCCAGCCTCACAATTAAAATTTTGATTTCCACAAGAAATTGGGTAAAATTTCTGAACAAGTTACTCATCCTCATTATGAATGACTGTCACTTGTTTAAAGGTTCGAAGAGGTTTCACAGTGTATGCAAAACCAGCCAGATTTGGATACAATATTGATCACAATGCAAGGGCAAATGTAGAGGTAATTGTTCATAGAGAAAAATCACAAGACCTGACATAAGCTTGAGGTGACATCTCTCTTACTCTGTAAACCAGCTGTGTCCAATAAATCACCTTACCCACTGAAAAGGGCATGAAAGCTTCTTTCTTGACAAACCTCCCCTTGGGGCTGAGGAAATGAGCAGGGTTAAAAGCACCTGGTGTTTCCCACTGTGTTTGATCCTGAAGTACTGATGTCAACAGGGTGATGACTTCTGTGCCCTAAAAATAAAAAGTGCAGTTAGTGGAAAGGATTAAATTAAATTTTTTCCTAAGAGGTCCTTCTCCACTGATGCGTTATAACCATGGTTGGTAAATTTCCAGCTATGGAATGTTCTGGAAGAAAATGAAGTAGTCAAGAAAAGCTTTAGGTTTAGTAATGAGATGTTCATTTTAGTCACCAACGTTTCTTTAGTTTCTAACTAAAAGCATGTCCTGGGAATGAGCCTCTAGTGTCTATTGGTCATGTGATAATGGCAGATTTAACAGATTTGCCTTTATGAACCAGGATGGTCTTGAACTCACTATATAGCCTAGGACAGGTTCAGACTCATGATGTTCAGCCTCTAGTGTGCCAGACTTACAGTATGAGCCACCAAAGTCAGCTTGTTAACCTTAATAAATTCTATTCTAAATCTGTATGGGGGAAATCCTTACTGGGATTGTAAGTTGTAGATGAAAGGATGCAAATGAAAAAATCCGGTAGAATTTCTGGAAGGTTCAACAGCTTACTGAAAGTTTGTTCTTATATCCCCTAGTTCTGGGACAGTAGATGTCAAGTCAAGAAAGATCATATAGACAGATTCTAAGAAATAAATTGCTCTGCTTTCATATTAGGGCATGTGCTGTAAAACAGCTTTCTATAAACGAAGGGAGTGACGTTAATCGTATAGGGAAAGACATTCTGAGGATGAAAGCAAACAGAACAAAGTCAAATAATGATCAAAAGCAGAACTCTGAGCAGGAGCTATAGCTTAGATGTAGGCATGCTTGCCTTGTATACACAATATTGAAGTTTAGCCATCAGGATGCTTTGTCGTTATACTAGTGGATGTGTGCTCTTCAAGGGAATTGTGGGAGTCTAGTCTGTCAGCCTTTCCCCGGCCACTGGTTTCTTCACACACTCCTATCAATGACACCTACTGTCTCCAATCTAGATGGGGCTGTTCTGCCTAATCTTGGACTTAAAGTGGCAAAACACTAAGTCAAATAACTGTTTACAAGTTAGCTGCCTTGCATATTTTATTATGGTACCATGAAGATTGCCAATGCTACATTGCTTGCATTTTTCTGCTTCACTCTTAATCTGATTAGCTCAGCTTAATAGTATGCCTAGGCTGAGAAGAGAAGCTCCAAAGATGGGCACAGTCTTGTTCAAAGAGTAGGATTCCCAGAGTAGGACTCAGTAGCAGCCTCATTGGCTTTATGCAGACATGAGCCCACTAGCAGCAATAGGACTAAATAATGAGGAAAAGAATCCATGCCATGTGTGTATCACAACCTTCTGCTCACTCTTGCCTTCAGTCTAGTTTTAGGAAGGCATACATGCATTTCTTCAATTTCCCAGAGGAACTCAAAGGTTGGCATGAAGGTGTGTGGGAATATGTATACATGATTGTATGGGACGATGGGATTGAAATGTGGAGGTACTGATGGAAAGATCCTGCCTGGGAAAAACTCAGGGCTCAGGGCTCAGAGTGTTACACAGCTTATGGGAAATCTAAGTTCCTTCAGAGAGCAACCTTTCATTTCCAAAAAGGCTTGAGTTCTCTAAATATCATATAAAATAGAATATCTTATAAAGTGTAAGAGAATAGCCTTCAGTGGCACATACACACGCACATGCACATACACATATGCATAATCACACGCAAACATAAACACACACAGTTACCTGGTTTTGACTGATGGGGAGGGAGGAAGGAGAGAGATAGTAAACAGAAAGGAGAGGAATCATAGTAGGAAGGAGAAAAATAGGCCGAGACTGTCACTGAATTTCAGTATCAGTGGTTTCATGGTTGTGAACATTGGGGACATACTCTCTCATTTCTCTTGCTTAAGCCCTTACCTTTGGAATATAGTAGTTTTTAAATACAACATCTGTGGTTGTCTCATAGGGTAGGCTTGTGGGGAGGATGTTAGCAACTCTCTGTATTTCGTGAATTACAGCGTCTGTGTAGGGCATTTGAGTTCGGTGCTCAATTCCAGGCTGAGCTGAGCCCACAACTTTGATGATCTCATCATGGACCTTTTCTGGATACAATGCAATTAAGAGTTAATATCCAACCTGGACATGAATTCAAGTGATTTTACATGTTTTCTCAATACATACAATCAAACCCAAACCCAAATGCTCTCTCAATTTGAGTGCTTTTGCCTTCATCCTTCCTACTTCTTTTTTTGGAGGGGGGGGGGTTCGGGGGAGATTGATGGAGAAGTGTTCAAGACTGGGTTTCTCTGTGTAGTCCTGACTATCCTGGACCTCACTTTTTAGACCAGGCTGATCTCAAACTTACTAGGTCTGCTTGCTTCCCAAGTGATGGGATTAAAGACATGAGACCCTCGTTACTCTCCTTCTGTTTAAGGTTGCTCTGGGAATGATCATGGGAAGATTTCAGACCATTTCAGGATGCTTAAAGAACAAATCCTATCTTCTTCTGAAAAATCATTTTTGAAAGATTTATTTGAGTTTTAGTTGTATGTATGTGTGTGTACATGTATGTGCGCACATGTGCATATGTGTCTATTTGTGGGTACGTGAATTCGAGGTCAGGTGTCTGTGGAATCCAGACAAAAGTGTCCTTGGAGCTAGAGCTATAGGCAGTTGTAATCTGTCTAAAGTGAAAACTGAGACCTGAAGTCTGACACTCGGCAAGAGGAGGATGCACGCTTAATCACTGGGCCATCCTCCAACACTGAAGCTCCTTTTGTTCTAAAAGGAAACTAACCACACAAGCTATTGTCAAGGCTAGAATTTACAGGTATCCGATGTGACTATAGAATTCTGCATCTTTGATTCCGAGATTCCTTCATTTGAGGACTGCTCTGAATCTTGGAGACTTACCCTGAATCTCAGGGTATCGCATCATGAGTATAATTCCCCAGCGCAGTGTGGAGGCTGTGGTCTCGGTTCCTGCTGTGAATAGGTTAGTAACAAGGGCTAACAGATTTTCTTCATTGAAATAGTCAGTAGATGTGCTGTTTTCCTAAAATGGTAAAATATGTCATTAGTCATGGAATAATTTTATCATGGGCAAATCATCAAGAATTACCATGAATTAAAAACAACAAGTATTGGTATTGCATTCTTCAACTCAGCGAAATTTCCCTTTATTGTGCAGCTATCACACAGAACTTGAGGATTCAGGTATATCCCAGATGCTAATCATGGTAAATAATTCTGAAAATAACAAAGGCTGTCTCTGTTTTGGAAGCTTCAAAGTTAGTTTTCAGTTGAATTATTAAAATATTCCCCACACTATTTCTCTTTATTCCCACAGAGAATAATGTGGAAATTGTATTCAAACTATAATAAACAGCATTTTCAGATTCTACAATGTACTCACTATTAATCTGGGTCCAGTCGACTTTCTTCTTTGAAGGAATGTTTGGTGTCTACCAGCAATTAGTTAAATAGTAAATATTGGCTAAAGAATCCTCCTAGGAAAACACCATTACCTCCTGCTGTCTGACTAGAAATGCATCGATGAGACTTCTGGGATCATTTTTGTCAAGATTATGACGATGTTCTAGGAAGGTCATCCTTATGAAGGAAAAGAATTCATCTCTGTTCCTCAGTACCTTCTTGTGGCTTCTTAGGAGAAATCCCAGAATAGGAAACATATTAAAAAGCTAAAGGAATACAAAAAGAAAGTACTTTAAATAGGCACAAACTAGTTGGGACAATGTAGTGATATATTATTATTGAAAAAAATCATAAAAATAACACCTTCAGTTTTTGCCTCAGCTAAGATCGATAGACTGGATTATATAATGACGCTTCTTCTTTTATTTGGTCAGAATTATGAAATTAATAATTGAATACTGATACAGCTTCTAAGCTCTGGTATGCAGAATATTTTGCATACTATATCACGGGGATAATATGCTTAAGGTTGAGACAGGATACAATAATATCTTTGTTTAGAGGGATAAACTCAGTGTCTTCTTCTCACAAATATTTGTGTGAGTCCAGGTAAACAACTGAATTTGCTATGCTACAAACAGCACAATAAATTTACTTATGCTTTCTGTAGAAATACTTCAGTTTGTAACACACATTTATCTGTGGATTCCATTATGAAGCACCATTTAATCAAGCCTTCCCTGATCCTTAATAATGTTCAAAGAAGTTTTTGACAGGGATACTTTTGTGGTGTGTATAAGAAGGATATTCTAATACTCATAGTTATAGAAGAGATCCACTACGTACATGACATTACAACTTAGCTTACACAAACTGTTTAGTGGCTGCTTTTTTCTAGTTTAATCACACCCCAGCCCTGATGCTCCTGGAAGAATACAAGACTGATATAAATAGACACCAACTAGATTTTAAGAAGTTCTCAGTTCAGAAGCCCAGACAATGTGGGAAGATTGCAAAAGATGCTGACAAGAGGGACATGTACAAGAGAAGTCTCAGAAACGTGGCAAAAATGTAGCTCCCTCCCAGAGAGAGGAGACAGAACTCTGGAAAACTGACTGGCTTTGCTTTCTTCGTTTCCTCTTCTCTCTGTTTAATCTGATGCCTGGAATCAAGATGAAAGGCATATTTTGAGGATGTTAAGGGTTCTCTGAATAAATCTAACTTTAAGGATCCAGAAATTGTCCTTTTCATCTGCAAGTGACGGGCAGCAACAAGCTTTGCTATTTTAGGTACAACTTTACTGTTTGCTAAAATTTACATTTCTTAGTGTCCTATTCTTGGGTAGGTAAGGGCTGGTATTTAGCCACAGTCTCAAAGGACTCTTAAGATGACTTAATGAACAAAAGATCTCATCTAGGTTGTATGAGATATTTGCCTGTGCCTGTGCTAAATACCCATACCAATAGATTACCTGCATTAATAGAAAAGATTTAAATTGTTCCAAAAGTGAAATGATAGAGTTGGCTGCATTGATATGACTCAAAATTTAAGAAGCTTCTATTTTTTTGGATCTGGAAGATGAAGGCTATTTTTTTAAACAGTGTGGATGTTGTTTACATGTGTATCTGGTGTACCACTTGTATGTCTGTTGCCGACAAAGCTCAGAAAAGTTTATCAGATCCCATGGAATTGGAGTTACAGCTGGCTGTGATCCACCATGTGGGTTCTAGGAAAGGAACTTGGATCCTTTGGAAGAACAGCCAGTGCTCTTTCCTGTTTATTTATTTCTCCAGTCTCCAGAAGATGGAGCTTCCAATGATAAAAGAATCAGATGGCCGAGCCATTGTTAACATGTATAGATCGTCATAAACATAGAGACAGTGTTTATTTTAGCACGTTTTCTTTATGTCCTTGTTCTCCCTGTTAAAAGCCTTTTTCCTAATTGAATTCTATTATGAGTTCTTTAATTGACATTTAGTTCATACTCTCTATAAATGATTGTTGGTGTAGGTAAACAATACATGGCTATGTTTATATAATACACCAATGCCATATAACGTTAGTGTGTCTCACATTTCATGATCAAGGTATTTATTGCAGTGCTTTGTGGTGAGAGGACCATCAGATAGGCTAAACAAGCATGTTTATCGTAGTGTTATACTTAGAATACACTGACATTCTTTTCAGTCTCTTGAACCATCAAGTGTATCAAGAAAATACCAGAGTGTAAGAGAAATTGAGCAAGGAAAACAAATCAAAAAAAGAAGAAACAGTTACCACAATACTAGGTTTTCCAATGAGTTTCATGTTTTCACCAATTAAGGTTAAGAGTCTCAGGAACTGGGGATCTTGATAGTCAAACCGTTTCCCAAGCAGCACGGACACAATGACGTTAGCAACAGAAGCATTCAGTACTCTTTTGATCTCAAATGGCTTTCCTATAAGGCAATTCATCAAGCAGATCAGGAATCTTCACATACCCAGCACTATCTCAGTTCCGGACTGATTGGAACAGTCTACCCAGTAAAGAGTTTCATAGAAGGATTATGTGTTATTGTGCTTTTCATGAATATGTGACATTTATAGCTGTGACTTTGACTAATGCCCAGACTTTGGCACAAATGCTCAGGTAGCCACAAAAAATAATATTCAATGGACATGTGAAAGAAAAGTGGACATTCAGTTTGCCTAAAGAAATAATGTGGCAGAAGCATTTAATGTTTATGGGTATACCTGGGTATGCAGTGTGTATATAGAGGGCTGTAGTTAATGCACAGTGTATGGGAAAATATCATCCCCTGACATGGACTGCACTGAAGGTTGGAGTGTACCATTCTACTATATTTTGATGTTTTATCCATCGCTGAAATCTACACAGAGTGTGAAATCAGACCTGGTCTCTGAGACCTCTGTCCCTGTTACTGGGGAGGCTGTGGTTGGAAGATTTAGTGTTCAAGGCTTCTCAGGACTGTAGAATGAGTTCAAGTCCAGCTTAAATAACCTAGCCACTAGGTCCCAGTGGGTCCCATCTTCAAAATAAAAAAGTAAAGCGAAGTTACTGGAGCTTAGTGATCAAGAGCTTTCTCAGTATGCATGGTCCCTGGGTTCAAATCCCCAACACGCATATACAAATTACCTGGATTATAAGATTATTAAGTACACATCAGTAGGCAAACTTTATTTATTTATTTATTTATTTATTTATATTTATTCGTTCATTTATTTATTTGTAAAGAGTATCATATTGAGTGCATTGCAAAAGGGCTGAATAATGTTGGGTACTAACTAGCAATCTTTTCAAGTGCCCTGGTGGGATTTGTGCTACCGTTAATTAATGAGTACTTTCCTTGTCTGGACCTCTTTTGCAATAAAGCAGCCTCCTGCATTGAGATAAAAGCGTTATAGCCTAAAGAAGATGAGGTAAAGCCCCAAAAGACCTGAAAATCCCAGCCTTGGGTGGGTGGGGGAGGTAGTGGCTCACAGGCTTTGACTACTGAGCCAACTTAGTTTTCCCCTCCTAAGCATAACTCTGCTGCCCCTTCTATCTATATCACCTTCCTCATGGCAGCTGTCTGAATAGAAGGCTTCTCTGTTCTGTCACCCAAAGCACCTTTTATCCGTTCTCTAACTTCCCAGGACAGGCCAGTTTTTAAATTCTTTTATGTGGCTGAAAATGCCACTGTATCATGTCAAAGTTAATTTCTCAACACATGAAGCCTGGGTTACTGTTATGAAAATATTATTGTACTTTGAGAATAGAAGGAAAACATGTTTTCAAAGAGTTCAAAATGTATTTTATATAAAAATTATTTTTAATAGATTCATATATGTAGGTAAAATAAGGGAAATGGAGGGAGGGACAGGAGGAGGAGAGAAAGGGAGAGAGAGAGGGGAAAAGGGAGAGAAAAGGAGAGAGGGGGGAAGCAGGAGGAGAAAATAAAACAAATGTTTACATTCGACATGTATAGTATAGGAGTAGACAGCACTGGGTATGTATATATCCTTGGAATTTTTCTATAGATTAAATTATGTCAAACCAAGTGACTGGATATACCTTTTGTTTACTTCTTTTTCATGAAAAGTGAAATGGCTTTATTTGTTGCACACACCTTTGTGAGATTCAAAGTTCTGTATGAGATGCTGGCATTCCGCTATAATAGTGTCTTCTATAATTCGCTTGCCCATGCCGAAATTCCTTAAGGTGGTCAAGCTGAATCTTCTCATTGTTTTCCAGGTTTCGCCATGAGCGAAGACAAGTCCTTAGAGAGGAAATGAGTGTGTTTAAGTTACCTCCAACAGTTTTAAATTTAGCGCTCAGCGATAAATAAAAATTATAAACAAAAGTTTTGGTGTTCCCTCCTAAAAATAAGGAAAGAATGGGTTTGTGGTATAGTGAAAAATGATGGAGGATTTATCTTGCATATTTCAAACCCTAGTCTTGTTTCTCAGCAAGCCCAAAAAGGAAACAAACAAAGCCCACCCAGAGCCAAGTGTAGGAAGTCTCTCTTTCATTTCTTAAAGGATTTATCATAGAAAACATGGTAAATACTTTCCTCTCTTCTTTGAAATGCATGCAACTATTTCTGAATACAAGCCATCGATTTGTCTTGATGTCCATATGACAAGAATATCTTTCCAAAGGTCTGAGGACAGATCAGAAGTGACCAGGAATGTAAGATCCTTGCTGCTCAGCTTTTATGTGGAGGTAGAAGCAAAGCTTCGAGGGCAAAGCTTACTCTAACTTGCAAAACTAGCTTTTATCATAAATGATGAGATTGTTTTTCTTTTTATGGGTACAATTAGCAAAGACAATACCTTGAGTAATAGCTAATATTTTAGTCCTGAGAACATGCATACAATGTGGACATATTGATTCCAGTATGTAAAAGGCATTCCTTCTTATTTTTACAGTGGCGGGTTGTGAAGCTCATTATTTTCTTTCAATGCTTATTCAGTAAGAAAATATTTTCTTTTTCTAGCCAAACAGCAAGGACTTTTGGGTTTGGAAAACATTTTACATTTTTTCTCAATCAATTCAGTTCATAATTTTTGAATGTTTATTTTATTCTTATATCAAAATAGGTGTGGCTAAAATGTCAATGAACATTTGCAAACAAACTCATTATTTTCCAAAGAGAAAGACTAGTCTAGATCATATAAAACCATCAAAGTGAAGAGATAGAAATAAATAAATACAACACGTTTGATTCAGTAATTTTAACCAAAGGGATATATTTGAAAATTAGGGGTCATTACCTTTTCCATAAAAAAGTCTTTCAAATATAGGCACTTGAGAACGCTTGCCAAATTGATTGCTATAATTAACAAGGGCATCTTTCACTGTCTCATAGCCAGAAAGGACCACCACTTTCCTCGGGCCCATCTGAATGCTGTAAATGGGGCCATATTTCTTGGAGAGCTGTGGTGTACAAAACACAGTGAAACAAGTAAAACATCACAGTATAATTAAAAGGACAGTTGCTCATGACCTCTGAACTGCTTCACCAGAGTCATTTCTCCAGCCACTGTAGCTCCTGCAGGCTCTTTGATGACTTTCAGTTGGTAGTCTCTGCACTCTATTTGATTTAGACTTTGAGACTATGAGTCATCTTTCATTACAGAATGGGTCCATAGTCTCTCCCTATGTGTTTTTGTTTGAAAACAGAAAATGCCCAGCCAAAATTCTAGGGAGACAAACAACATCTTTGGTACCACCCTGATACAATTCCATATGTGCACATTCTGTTTTTTAGCATGTGCTATGATATTAGTAGGACCAAGTTAGTTCTTGATTAGTGGTAACATTCTTTACTGATAAAAAAGAGTTCCACTTTTCTTTCATAATTGAAAAATAGCAGGAACTAAGATGTATGACATCTTGATTTATTCTCAGCACCATTATGTCCTTGCCTGGAATAGATACATCATCACTATTGAGTGGAAAGGATATTGTATTTTCATGAGATCACAGAGTAGGGAGTTGATACTCAGCAAGGGCCACCCAATTAGTGGCACACTGGTTGAGAAAATGCCATCTTAATCTAACTGCGCTTTGGTGGACACTGAGATGACAATCTGGAATGTGTCTTTATATACAAAACTTGACTTCTTTACAGTTTCACCAGGAATTGAAAGATAACACAATGATTTAGGACATCAGTACAACTAAGATTAATATTTTGGAATTAGAAATTAAAATGGGAGTTTGAGTACAGGATCTTGATTGAGAACTCCTTTATACAGGGGAGATTAGCTCATGTCAGATAATTCAAGGATAAGTTTAATAAAATTATGGCACAGGTCATGGAAAAGAGTAGAAACCTCCTTTTTTTGTAGATGGAAATCATTCAGAACAATGACATATCTGTGGAAATGAGAAACAAAAGGAAAGAGCATACAGTGAAGAGGGTAGGTTAGTTAGTACATGAACAAGGACAGGGGGAGTGTGGAAATAATGTTGAGGACCATGACATTAAACAAAGAGATTTGTTGAAAGAAGATCTTATTCTTATGCGAGATTAACCTGGCTTGTGATTTTTGGATGTAGAAGAAGCCACAAAGTTGTTTTAAGTTGTCTCTATATTCTTTGAAATATATTTATCTGTAAAATGAAGATACAAATGTCATTTTATTTTCCCCCAGGTTAGTTAGAACGTGAAATCCTTGTGTTGATTTATCAAATCAAAAGGCATAAAACAAAACTGAGATGCCAACTGAGGTGAAATTATAATTTTCTCTTCATTACCTTGTTCCTTAAGATTTTAACTCGACTCATTAGAAACAACTTAGAGCTTATAGTCAAATGTAAGCTCAAAATATTCACCTTGTCTATCCCTGTAAACAATAACTCCAGAATATTTTTCACTGAAAAAGTGGAGAAATGTAGTCTAGTTCTTACACCAGGTAATCTGGAAGGCAGTGACACAAAGGACAAAAGCGAACTCATTTGTCAAATTAATAGAAGTCCTAGACTTAATTTTTTGGATTCATAATGTAGATGTTTATCTCATTTATATATACAGGTTTGAGAGATTAATTTTAAGTTTGTCTACAAGCCAGTGATCAAAACTCAGGTGCTTTTAATAGGTCTTATATGAAGAAAAGGTAGACCAAAACATGAGGTATATGTCATAAATACTTGAGAATAAAATTGCCACTTGTGCCCTTGAACCATATTAGCTAGCTAATTTACACACACACACACGCACACACACACTACATATATACATATATATAATATTTAAATGTGTATATGCACGTTTAATTAGCTCTGCTAATTTTGAATGCTGATGAATCCAAAACATGTATATGAGCTATAGTTAACACATGAAGCTAATAAACATCCTAGGTTAAGAATGATTTGGAAACACACACACACCATGATTGTTCATTTATGTCATACCTCTAACATAGTTTGATAAGGCCTCTTCAGGTTGAGGATGTGTAGATTTCCAATAACTGGCCAAGGTTTGGGTCCTGGAGGAGACTGTTGTTTAGATGCTTTAGCCATGAAGACTTTAATATTTAAAATAAGAATGAGAATGAGTCCCAGAAGCGCAAGCATAGCAGAAAAGTCAAACCCATTCATTATCCTTAAGCTGATATAATCATTAAGAGATCTTTCCAACTACAACCAGATAGAACCAACACTTCTGATGCAGATCGAAGATTTCAAGGTATTGCTAAGTTTGCTACAGCCATTGTTATTTTTACCCATTTTATAAATAAGCTGAGATAAACCCTGTTCTATATCCTTGCCCTGTTTTCATATTTTACCTTTCCCCTCTCTACTTCCAGTTCAATATGTTCTGTCCAATAAAACCTGGAAGGATTTTCTTTTTGTCTAAAACTGGCATTAATCTTTTGTTTCCTGATAGATAATACCCACTTAATCCTGAACACTGCGTCCACACTTGCACAATGAGATTAATTTCATTGTTTGGTAAGTAGAGTTTGTCATGGTCTCTGCATGGGTGGTTAGGTATGAAAACCACATTGAGAGTTTCAAGTTTCTTATACTGTTATGTGATCTTATGCTTCTTCCCCTTTAGTGTCCTGGATAGGATATTTATTTGAAACTTATTTATTTGGGCATAGACTCTTGTTCAATTCTTCAGTAAACTAATGTTTGCTAAAAATATCTGGAAGATGAAAGTCACTAGAAGGAAATGGAGGGACATAATGGTGCGTTGATATACTCGACTCACATTGTACAATTATACACAATATAAAATAATATTATTAAATATTTTATTAGTAAATGCTAATTCTAACAATTGGCACCACTTTTATAATAAAGTTTGATCACATTCTTCTTCCCAATTATCCTCACTTTCATTTTCTTCCACCTCTTACTAGTTCCCTCCCCTAACTAAATAGTTCCCTTTCTACTTCATGTCTTTAAAAAAATTCAGATTCTGTTCATGAGGAAAGCATGTAATAGTTCTTTGCAAGTCTTGTTTACTATGATTAACATTATGATATTTTATTCCATTCACATCATAATTTTATTTTTTATGTCTAAATAATGTTTTATTATGTATACATATTCCCTTCCTTTCTTCTTCCTTCCATCCTTCCCTTACTTCCTTTCTTTCCTACTTCTTTTTTCTTTCTCTTCCTCCTCTCTCTTTCTCTTCCACCCTCTATTACTCTCTCTCTGTGTCTTTTTGTTTATATATTTTATTTAGTGTGTGTGTGTGTGTGTGTGTGCCCGAGTACACACATATGCATGTGGATACTTTGTGAGGGTGTATGTGTGTACCTTGTGAGGGTCAGATGATAGCTAGTGGAAGACAGTTCTCTCCTCTCATATGGATCTTGGTGTCATCAGACTTGGCATCAGACCCTTTGACCTACTGTTCCACCTTGCTGACCTCCATACTATGTTTTCTCTATCTATTTACATATTAATGGTACCTAGGGTGATTTCATAACTCAATTATTACTAATAATGACACAGTAAGTGCTACCTATTGTACTGTGACATGCTCATTACAAAAACCTGCTCATTACAAAAATGAAAGGGGGAAATGTTGGGCCCCATTTAGGTCCTGGTTTGGGCCTTGAGGGCAAACCCAAGCCTGGTTCAAGTTTTGAGGCCTATCACAGTCACTTCCATACTGGGTTGACTAAACAAAACCCATTTGGCTCTAGCTCTGCCTCTGCTCTGCTGTTGCTGATGTAGAGCTTTGCCATTGGCTCTGTCAGTAACCCCATAACCTCCATCACCCTTCCCTGCCCCTTATGTCATCTCACTCCACCAAAACTTCCCCTACCTATACTCTGAGTTTATATAGGTGAGAGGTTGATACATTGAAGTTGAGTTCCTGCTTCGACAAGACTCCTGGCTTGGTGTGGCTGTTCAAGGCTGCCAACAATCACTCAGCTCTAGAGAGGAGGCCCAATATGACTGGGACCTCTCTCCTCTTGCCTAGACCTGCCAGCAAGGAGCCGATAGGCTGCTTCACCTGTGTACCCAGGAGTGTATAGCTGTATCATATGATCTTGCTATATAGCTCACACTGGACACAAACTGGCATCCTTCCTGGCTCAGCCTCCTGGAATGCTATGATTCCAGGTATTCACTACCCTGTCAGTTTCTATAACTTTTATTGAACCTTTACTCCTCAGCCAACCCTGAAAAAAAATAATAATGGGACAGAACAAAAGTCCTTGAATCACTGTGATGGATAGTGAGGACGCATTTCCTGGGTGTACAGCATCCACCATCCATCCTTTTCCTTTCACAGACAAGCTCTCTTGTTTGTGTTTGCCTTCTTTTCAGAGAGGAGTTTCACTTTGCTGTCACCTACTTTTCCAGCTTTCTGTGCACTTTTAACCCAAAGTAAGATCTTTCTAGTTCAGTTGCTTAAGAAAGAAGTGTGGCTCTTTCCTTTTGATGTCAGAACTATCACTTAGAGTATTGTTTAACAGACACTAGTGACTAATCTTTTCCACATTACTTTCTTGATAACATTCTCCCCAAGTTGTTTACTTGTTATCACCATAGTTCATAGTGTGCTTGTCATTTGCTCTCTGTAACAAGCCAACATTCTTGGAAGTTGAAAGTTTTTATTTTATTCAATATTTAATTTTGAGAAAGGACCCCCACTATGTGTCCCTAGCTGGCCTGGAACTCTCTATGTAGGGCAGGCTATTCTCGAATTTACAGAGCTCTTCCTGTCTCTGCCTCTTAAGCACTAAGTACTGAGTTTCAAGACATGCACTACCGTGCACATCTACTGTCCACTTTAATGTTGACCCCCTTCCCACCCAGTGCTTAGGACATGCCTCAGACCTTATTGAATATTTGTCAAATTAGTAGTTAAATTAAAAAGTAAATGAATGATTGATGGATTTCACACTGAAAAATCAATCATAGGAACATTTGGTGGGTCAAAATGGTGACCACAAAGAGATCAGAAGACTTGGTAAAGTTACGGTGAGCTACTTATTTTAGCAGGATTGTGATCACAACTTAAGTTTGTTTCTCCTAGGGCTGGTGAGATGCTTCAGTGGTTAAGAGCACTGATTGCACTTCTAGAGGTCACGAGTTCAAATCCCAGCAACCACATGGTGGCTAACAACCATCTGTAATGAGATCTGATGCCCTCTTGTGGGGGTCTGAAGACAGCTACAGTGTACTTACATATAATAAATAAATAAAAATTTAAAAAAAATGAAAAGGTTTAAAAAAAAAAGTTTGTTTCTCCTATGATGCTCTCTGCATCTTGTAGTTTAGTGACACAAAACTAAATATTCCTCACACCAGCTAAAACTCTCTGCTTGGGAAAACATTGAACTGTAAGAATATAGCCTTAGGAAATCTCATTTGTCAGCAGTGATGAACGTCTTCTCAATCCGTATCTTAGACATTTGAACAGTCTAAGGTGGCTACTGGCACAAAGCAAAGAGTAGCATTTATTTGTGTGGATTCTACCTGTAATCTAACTGTAATCTCAAAGACACATTTCCAGTATCATCAGCAATTACTATAGTTGTTTTTAAGAACAAAGAATAAAGGGACAATGTCAAAATGAGAATATGACAAGATGAAAATGATGTGTAGTTGATTCTTTCCAACTGTTCTATAAAAATTGACAATACTATTATTTATTATGACCACACTATTATTATTCAGTGTTACAAATGAGGAAACAGAGACTTTAAGGAGTTGAGTAATCTAATCAAGGTCAGGGAGAGGATTCAAACTCACCTGATTTGAATGCTTTTGATCTTTATGACACTGTGCTGGTTCCCAGTGGTGACAGTGAGCACAACTGGCTCACATCTGGCCATGATCAATGTTTCATTTGGAGAATGATTGTGACAAATAACAAAGAATTATGATCATAATTGTTTCTTAATTGTTCTTCTGAATGCGCAGGATAATTACTGGATATGATCAGATATGGACCTCTTGTCTATGCCTTCATGGTTTCTTTGATCCATGTGTGTCTATGTCTTAATCTCGTAACTCCAGTCATACTGATATCCATAAGTGGTGGTCAAAAGTATCGAGTAATGAGAGGTCACAGAGCTTCCTTGATACAGACTATTGAACTGAAAAGTTTCAGGCTAAATGTTGGGACTTAGGTAAAGTTCATGACTTCATAATTTTCTTCTTTCATTAAAGTGTGTAAGTAAGTAATCTCAAAGTTCTTTATGAATTTGCTTTTTATGCTTTAAAATGATGTCATGCTGCTATGGAGGTTGTTTTGACTGTTTATTAATATGTATAATGTCTTCTCATCATCATCTCTCAAACAGAATATGTTGTCTGTATTCATGAGGTATGTCCAAAGTTTTTCTTTTGTGAGTGAATATCATAGTAATGGTAGATAGGGCCTGATACATCAGAGTGACCAAAAGTGTGGCTTTTGACAGACTTGAATTTGAGTTCAGATTCTGCTTTTTCTTATGCCACTTATGGCAAAGTACTCAAACTGTCTGGCTCAATGTATATATCCTGAGTGTTTATCAAAACTCATCTATCTATCTATCTATCTATCTATCTATCTATCTATCTATCCATCCATCCATCCATCCATCCATCCATCCATCCATCCATCCATCTATCTATCTATCTATCTATCTATCTATCTATCTATCTATCATCTATCTATCTATCTATCTATCTATCTATCTATCTATCTATCTGCCAGTTGTCAGCCTGTGTTAATGACTGAGAGGGTACTAATATAATTAGATGAACAAATTTCCAACTTAAAATATTGGCACTTTGATTCTGCACCTTGGTTGGTTGTATGTAGATATTTTTATATAAGTTAATCCTTTATAAGATATGCTTTAGTTATTATTAAGCTCTCTTTCATTATATTTAAGATTGTATAAGCCATAAAACTATTACTTTTTCAGTTAATAAATTACTTCTGTAAACTGCCTACATAATTTGTCTTAGTGTGGTTTTTGGAGCTAGCTTAGAGCATGTACATGGTAAGTAAGCACTGTTAATTAAGCTGTGTCTGAAGCAGGCCTTCTGTAGGGAACTAGGATGTCAAATATTTCTGAGACTGGAAAGTGTAATTAGAGTTTGGATTTTCCAGCAATTTGTAAATGTGAGTATACCCTGATATTCACAAAGATCAATTATCAATAAGCTGGGCTCCTGTGTGTATTTGTTTAACTTTGATGAAATCCCTAGATGTGTTTTCTTTCTTGTGTATTTTATCTTAATTTCATTAATATAAATATATTCCATAGTCTATATATAAAGCTCAACATTCAATAGCATCTATCAAATGAAAAACAGATCAATATAGTAAAATGAGATTTTAATCATAGTGATTATTATAAAGAAGAGAGAGGGGGATTAGTGTAACAAGAGGAGGACTATTGAAATATGGAGAATGCTTTGAATAATGGTGGATTATTCCCTTAAGGGGAATCCAGGTCAGAGAGAGTTGGGTGCACAAGATAAACCAGTAGAAAGACTGAATAATGGATCAAAATGTAGCTTAGTTACCATGTGACCAGACTAATTCGCTGGAGAGGTTTATGTCAGAGCTCTACAAGGAGGAGCCAAAGTTTTAGGCTTGGAGGAAGGATGAGAGGATTTTTTTTGACTGACTAGTAGTGGCTTAGTAGTTCAGCTGTTCATTTACGTGTGGGAGACTTTGCAGGGTATGTGTCTAGCCTTGACATAGGTCAGCAAAGGGGTATTTATGAGGATTACATAAGTCACACAGGAAAAGGTGTTTTTGGAAATAACCCAATGTCTGTAACACAAACAGTGAGCTGTTCTCTTTATCCTCATTGTTCTCAGGTGACAATCTGGAATTAGATCCCTGAGGATGTGAAAATAGTGTTTAAAGGAAAAAAAAAACAATACCAAGTTAATAGGGAATGAAGATTTACATGTAGGTGAGTGTTTATTCAATCTGGTATAAACACTGCTCTACCATCTGTCAGCTGTAAACTGCATAAAAGAGGCATTTTTGAGGTAATGCCGTCTCAAAACTTATAAAGGACTTAACTAGAGATCTGAATGAAGATGCCTTTTAGACAGCTTTGTGATTACTCTCTTAATTAAAAGTTTCTATTGTTGTGATAAGAATGTCATGACCAAAAGCAATTTGGGAAGAATAGGGTTTATTTCAGTTTATTACTCTCAAGGCATACACCATCCCCGAGGGAAATTGAGATTTCCAAGGCAGGTGCTGAAACAGAGACTGTGGAGGAATGCTGCTTACTGGCTTGCTCCCTATGGTTTGCTCATCCTGTTCTCCTATACAATCTAGATCTTAGATTCTAGGATCACATACCCAGGTTTTTCAATATCAATCATTAATGAAGACAAGACCCCCCCCAAACTTGCCTACAGGCAAAGTTTTTAAGGATAGTTTCTCAATTAAAATGCTCTCTTTCAAGAGATGTCTAGGTTTGTATACTGTCAATATTTTTAAAAATTGAAATATTTTTTAAGAGTAAGCTTTGTCTGACTGATTCCTTGAGGTACAAACATTCACAAACCTTGCCTGGATTCTCTTGACCTTATCCTGAGCACATATATCTCTATCCAAGTATTATTTAATTTGTGTCATTTTTCAGCAACAAATTATGACTGCCAATACATTATCTTTCCCAAAACTTGTGTCTTTCTAGTGACTTAATTGAATGCTAAAATGACCTTGACAACCCTGAAACTTTGTACTTTGTGGTTCACGCAATACAGGAATTTTTACTTGTCTTAGCAACACTACTAAAGTATAAGCATTACATTAAGTTTTTAGTTGTGTACAGTGTGTTTTGATTATATGCACCCTCCCCCAACACTCCTAAGATCTATTCCTCACTTCCATCCCGACTCAACTTTGAGAGAATTATTTGTTTGTTTGAGTTTGATTTTTTGAGACAGGGTTTCTCTGTGTCAACCTGGATGTTCTGGAACTCACTCTGATGACCAGGGTGGCCTTGAACTCCAAGACTCACCTGCCTCTGCCTAAAACTAACTACCTTCCTTCCTTCCTTCCTTCTTTCCTTCCTTCCTTCCTTCCTTCCTTCCTTCCTTCCTTCCTTCCTTCCTTCTTTCCTTTTTTTATCTTCTCTTTTTCTTTTTATAACTGGGATATTTGAAGATGTTGAACAGACTGGAATTTCAAAACATACAAAATAATCTTTTAAGATATATACCATTCAATGTATTTTTCACAGTCATTAAACACAAAAAAGACGCACTGTGGGATCTTCATATGAAGTCTTTGACATGGTGATGAAATTGTTTCTATAGGAATAGTTTTGGACTGAGCTAGACACTTCTTATATCAGATCCTAAAGATATTCCCATGGTTTACAATAATCTCATACAAATACACTCTTTGTTTTAGGTAAGTGTCCCTGAAAATTTTAACTTTGCTTATGTGATTATTTAAAGATTATGGAATGTTTTTCACCATATGCTTTACACATGTCTTCTTAATTATTAACTGACTATCAGCAGTTTGTTGGAGTCCAGAAGGGTTACCATCATGAAAGACCTCATCACAGGATGTAAAATTCTCCCCTTTGCAGTATTTAATCTGTAGGAGGCACAAAAGTTTTCTGTATATCATCACCATCAAAATGGAGAACCAACTTTGGGCTGTTTACAGAAGGAAGTGCTAATCACTTTCTTCGTGAAACCTAGTATACAACAGATTTCCCTAGTGCAGAACCTACTGACTGTCAATGTCATATTGACCAACAACTCTTGGGTCATTATTTCTCAGCTGCTCATTCTTCATATTGTGAATACAGCACTGGGATATTGAGAGAAGGTTGACTGATTATTTTGCTCAAAATAGATATAGTTGTTCAGTCCATCAATGAAATTCAAAAGAAAAGTATTTTCTGATGTATAATTGTTTTGTGATTTTTTTTCCGAAATAGAGGAGACACTGACTGACCAGGAAAGAATTCTTTCAAGAGCACTTTGATGGATCAGTGAATTTATTTTGGTTACTTGTAGGATCTTGGATGATCAAGGGAAGCCAGCCAAATCCCCAGGAAGTTCCTTGGTCAACTTTTAGACATCTGTCCCACTGCAGAGTTTTACCTCACTCGATTATTTACCTTTTACATAACATAGGGAGGGAAGGGGCCTTGGAAGGAGCTCCTGAAGGCTAGCAAGCCCTGTGAGATTTAAGAAATTCCCCCTCCCTCCAGGAGCGAATTGTAGTAGACTCAATTTCATGAGGGTCACACACTCTGACATTCAAGACAGAGACCTAGTAAACATGATAGTACAGTTTACAAATGATATAGAAAACAGCTGCCCTAGTTCAAGATGGAAATTTTCATGTCTCACTCTGAATGAAATAAATAAATAAGAACATATTTCATAATGCAAATCCGAGAGAAAGTATCCTATGGTAATCTTTTGTTCTTCTGCCCTAAACTGTAGGTGTTTTGCTTTTTTCTTCCCCTTTAATTTCTTCTTTTGACACTCATTTACATATCCAACAAGTTGGGAAGGGAGGATAGATCCATCAGCCTGGTGCTGTGCGTGCCGAAGTCTGCCAAAGGATAAAGCAGCATTCGCACAGGGGAAGCTTGAATGTAGATGGTGAAGATCTACCTTCACAGAGAATGACGCATTAGTCACAAGAGATCTGTTGTGTAAAACATTTGCTCAGTCAAGTAATTATAATCAGAGCAGTATGAGCCACATTTACAGTGGTGAAATGGGTGTCACCATAGAAAATACTAGAATGAGTTCTACAGTTCTGGCATTAATTGAGAAGTATTTTCATGAACTTATAGATTTGAGTAGTATCAGTTCTGTTAAGATTCATGCCTTAATAACAACTTGTATCATAGAAAAATTACACCAAACAACCAAGAACAAAATTGGAACAGGAACCTCAAATATTTCATCAGGGACACACACATGCACACATACTCATACATCCAAGATAGAGACCTAATAACTATGACAGCACAGTTTACAAATGATATACAAGACAGATTCAAGGATGAGCAAATGTAGATCTCTACCTTACAAAGGACCTAAAGTTTTCATGTCTAAACATCCAAAGGTTTGCAAGTTTGGAGTTACCCTGAGATTGATTTCACAAAACACCCGATGAATGCAATTTACAGAAGGAAATGCTAATTTTGATTCATGTTTTGAAAGGATATGATTCACTATGGAAAAAAAAAAGGATGGTGCTGGGGATGGAAGGCAATTGGTCATCTTGTGTCAGCATTCTGGATGCAGAGGGTTGGATGCTGGTGCTCAGTGTCCTCATTTTCCCCTTTGTGTTCTATGAACCCAGTCCACAGAATATTGCTGCTCACATTCTGCCTGGGGTTCCTACCCATAAATGTTCTCTGAAAGGACCATATTAGATAAGTGACTGTGCTAGTCAACTTTCCTAAATGCAGTCCTGTAAAAGTTATACTATGTAAAGGTCACTTGTAGGCAATACATAAGTAATATATTTTTAATACACATTAAGTGTGAGGCATGAGTATATGTGCTTGTTAAATGGATTCAATCATATAAAAAAGAGATAAAGACAAATATCTTATTTTATAATAACATTTAATCATTTGAAAATTTACACAGATGGCTTTTAAACTCCTATTACAAATAATAACCATAAAAGGTATCAAGAATAAGAATATGCAAACAACAGTGTAACATTACTATGACTGTTTTTAAGATTTAAAAACATGTTAACTAGAACATTAATATTGGTTTTTATTTACATAGATTTCTTTCATTTTTCTAGTATGGATTCTTTAATGTGTCATTTGATTTCAGCCTTACACTCTTTGGAACTGAAGACATGGTATGTACATTAAGAAGCTAAAGGGTTGTGGATAGAATGCATGTGATAAAACAAGTAATATCTAACTGGGAGAAGAAAGGGATCCAGCTGGAGGGAGTGAGGAATCATGAGGGACTGCAGTGGGTAGGGATGTGCAGTGGTTAGGTGTATGACATACAGGCACAAAGATGCCACAATATAAACTGATCTATAAAGTGGGTAAAGTCTGATATGATCAAGAAGTATTGATTTCTATGATTCATCTCTTTTGCAAGATATCAAAAATACAATCAAATACTCAGTATGACCTATCCATTTGTAAAGTCATTCTTAGGGTCTGGGATAGACTGCTTTCTGAGCAATTTCTTGTCAACTGAGAAATCATTTGAATATCAAGGAATAATACCAAATCTAAAGGCATTTTTACACTGGCCATTTGGGGCTGGAATGTATCTATTGTCATGCCTGTTTTTCTGAATACTAAGTTTTTGTTTCTTTAAACTCGACTCTTCTTGGTAATTTCAACGATGCTGAGTTTAGAAGCGGTATTTAGACTTCATGTTCCACGTGGTTGTGATTCACATGTTGAAAGAAGCGATTATCAAGTTCTCTGAATTTGGGAACCTTGAAAAATGGAAGCAATAGTGTGACACTTAGTGGTTCTGTTGCTGGACCTGTCATAAGTTAGTACTGAAACAAAGGTGTTTTCTAAAATTATTATCTAAGCTTAGAAACATCCTGAATTCAAATTATTTGAGTTAAAGGAAAAATATAAAAACAAATCACTTATCTGGCCGACTTTGACTGCATTCTCTATTTCCCGCACCCAGTTTTCCTACTAATCTGCTGAGATTTCTATATCACTCAAGATGTGAAGAATATGCTTTGGGAGAAAGCGACCCTGGGGTCAACAGGCAGAATGTGGGGACTGGAAAGAAACTTGATGTGTGTGCCCTTCTTCCAGCCGTGAGCAGGCCCGAGACCTTGTTTACCACAATAGACCAAATAATGGGACCTAGGTGGAACTAGCCACCTTGGCTGCATGTCAATAGACACCTAGGTGGAGTCACCCACCTTGGCTGCATGTACATTCTGCTATAGGAACTTGAAAGAACTGCCCCTGGGCTTGCCTTGAGACATCTCTGGTCGTGACCCTAGACCAAGAACGGATTATCCCACCCATCTCTCCTGGCTGAAACTAGGAAGGGTTCGGGCGGGGTCTTTCCCTTTAAATTGAAAGCTTAACATTAAACCAGCGAGCCTTGATCAGAGAACCTTGTCTTGGCTTCATCTTTTCTCGCTCTCTGTCCCCTTTTCGTTCCCAGATGTCTTTCCAGGTGAACCCATTCGACTCATGGCCGCAGGCGGCTACAGATGTGTGCTCTCTAAGCCTCCATTCTTACACAGGGCATCTGCTTTTTCTCCCTACTTTTACCTTGAATACGATACAGCAAACTATTGGCTAGTATTTTCTATGAACATCTTTTAAGTATTGGTATAAAAGAACAGAAATAACATTTGTTGGTTAAATTCTGAGTTTACTTAGTTTCTGCTTTGCAGAGGAACTTTTTCTACTTTTTATTTTTTATTTATTTATTTTAATTTATTTGTATGTGTGTGCCTGCATTGCCCTATTGTACTGTGTACATAGAGGTACCCATGAAGGTCAGAAGAGGGTTTTAGATGCCTGGGAAATGGAGGTGGTTGTGTACCAGCTGATTTGGATGCTGGAAAAGAACTCAGGTCCTTTACAGGAAAAATAAGCTCCCTTCATTGCTGAGCAATCTCTCCAACCCTTAGCTTCTGATTTTCCTCTGACTAGCTGAACTGCGTTATCTCTGTCTGTGACTAGGAAGTTCACGAAGTTTTATCACATACATGTATACAAGCATGGGACTTAATCAACCTTTTCCTCAGTGGAGTTGAGACAAGTAAGTAGAACTCACTTCTTCCCAGGCAGCTAAGCACTATTGAACACTGTACAAAAAGCTGTTAAAATTTCTGTTAATTCTAAGTTTTTAACGGTCATTTTTATAAGAATTCCTGGTGTTTGTTTTCCTACGAGTAAGTAAACATGTTGGGTTTTAATTAGCAGCTGTTAGGCTCCGTCTTACTGGATAGATATATCTAGATCATAAAAGCTACAGATCTAACAGGCAACTGCTCTACTCTTAAAGCTAGCACCAGCTGTCTCATGTACTCCACAGATGCCTTGAGAAAACTACAGAAAGGTTGCTGAGTAACCCCGGTCAGGGATCTTACAGCCTGTTTGTACCAGATATTTTGCTATCAAAAGGCACAATCAATTCTAGATAACTTTGTGCCTGTCTCCATGCTGGCCAGAGGGAAAGTGTTGCCTCTGGTGTCAGCAGAAGGAATTATATGATCGTGCTGAGAGGCAAGGCTACGATTTGTCCCAAATGCAAGCCTTAATGAGTGTGGTTATTGCTAGGAGACAAGGCTGTGAGTGAACATCAACAACCAGGTGGCTGTACCTGTTCCAGTCATCCCTTCTCATGCTCTACGTGCACGCTTATAAGGGCAACTTCTGAGCTGCTCACTCATCTGCAGCTTGCATGCTGCTCTACATCATCCAGTGAGCTGAGAGGCACCGCAGCCTTGCCTCTCCTGATATTGTGCATCAGACCAATGCACAGCTTCTCTTGAGTGATCTTTCTTTCTTTGAATAGTTGCAAGCTGAGCTGGTAATATGAAAGCAGCAGCAGAGACAGAAGGACAGTGACAGCAAACAGCAGAGACAGTAGAGTAGCAATGGTAAGTGGCATCTGGAGCTTACTTTTTCTCCCTTCCTT